CCTAACTTAAATTACATCGCCCACACTGAACGGGACGTTGGCGTCAGTGCATGCAGTCAGGCTCACGCAGTCGGGCTCGCCGTTCTCGCTGTCCCCGCTCCTTCCCGTGCCGGTTTCTGTGTCACCCATGTGCACGCGCCCAGGGTCGCACTCAGAATCCTGGTGGAGCACGAGTGACACAGGGCTTTATGGAAAACTCCTGGTGAAAGTTCCTAAGTTTTGAGCGGACCTTAAAGTTTCCTTTTCTTTCGTTTCTGTTTTTATCCACTTATTCCGACGGGCGTGTTCATGAAGGGGCCATGGAATAGGCACTGACACCACATACTTGTTTCGTTTAGGCGGCGTCGTCAGTGAAACACTGGGGCCACAGAATACTTATGGTGCGACATTCTGGTCGCACGGGCGCCAGGCCTCATGATCGATTCAGAGGCCCTCTAAGGAAACACTGGTCCCCTTTATGGCGCCGGCCGTCCTCTGATGGGAGCAGTTAGTGCGACTCAGAGTAGAGGACTTCAGTGACGCACAATAAGTTCTTGCGGGTACAGGGGATCTACTAAATGACACAGGGATCACTTTTGATAAAATCAGGCCCCTGGAAAAAAACGGAGCAAGGTCGTTTGTTGATTATTGGGCCCACTGTCCGACACATACCCATTCCATTGCGTCAATCAGTGCGGGCCCTGTTATTACCCTATTTCCTATCTCCCTTTATTGTCGGGGGACCCAAAAATGCAAGAGGCTCGCTGACATGCTAGGTTCCGTCATTGTCCCTTTCTAGCAAACGGGCCCGCTGCCGACTTGGATCCCCTTGCTGACACAGGATCCCTCGTCAGGCACTGTGGCCCCATGACAAAACACAGTGTCTCTTTTTCATCTGCGCTTACCTAGCCTCCGCGCGTACTTGCCATAAGTTCGTACCAACAGCAGGGTCACAATCAATACTTTATTCAGAGGGTGGGGCAGGCCGCAGCGAGAATGCATCACAATTATACATTTTCTTCTAAGAGCGCTGTGGTAAATATGAAGACCTGTGGGTAGGTGGAGCGCCCCTTGACTGTGCTCCTCCAAAACAATCAAACAGCAGCGACAGCAGGGTTTGAAGACTATGATCTTGTAGGCAGGGGTCGGTTGTGAGTTTGTGAGGGCCCTTTGTGAGTTTGTGAGGGCCCTCGTTTGACACCCGTCTACCTTATTTGGTTGCCCCCTTCACAAGTCGTTTGACCTCAATGCTACAAAATGTCAGGAAAATATAAATATCACAGGGATCTTCTTCAGACATGACCTGCGGTTCATGACCGTTCCATTAAGATAAAGGACTATTCCGTGCCATCAACTTGAAAAACAACCGTAATCAAAATCGAGTGGCCTAAGAGCCGGCGAGAAATGCATCTAGAGCGAAGTTTATTCATAAACACCGTGGTTTGTTCACAGTTCCTCACAAGGGCGTAATGTCGCTGAATAATTTGTTGGGGGGGGGGGGGGGCGGGAAATGGCTCACGCTATCACAAAATATGTATTTCACCTAGGTCCTAGGTCATCCCCGATGATTTAGAAAAGCTGACGCCCCTGCTTGCAGGATAAAAGAAACACTAACCGAACCAGTACGACTTTGCTTGCTACTTTCAATCAAAACTTTATTAATTCCTTGCCTCCAATCACTTTGAATGCTGCATCTACCCTACGTTTCCGCTACGCCACCGCGATCGAGACAGCAGCGGCAGGGGCCTATGACACAGGACACCAGTGACGTCATTGCCCTGTGCTGAATGGCACGGGATTCCACCAATAGGAAATCCAACGATGCCCCCACCCCCCTCCCCTCCAGTGTTTCACCCGCCAGCTGATGTTGCCAATGTCCGACGGGCGCACAACAAATTATGCTAAGGATAATCGTAAATACCGCGGTTTGCAAACAAAAACAAAAGAAATGTATCGGAAGTGTCAAGGAGCAGAATATTACGTTCCCCAATACCAGTAATCAAGTACATTTATCACTGTATTCACCGTGCGTCTTAGTTTTAAGCAGAAGTAAACAAACAATATTGGCACCGTCATGGCAAACAGCGAAACGGTGACTCATTGGACCAGCATAATACTAGTGTTCTGTATGATAGGCACCTACATTCCACTTACATACATGGGATTCATGCATCGTTCACACCCGGTGATAGCTGTCCCTGTTTGGCGTCAACGTGAATGGCGTCGCATGCCCGCAGTTCGACAGGATGGCATGCCGGTTTTCACTTGCATGGGTAGAAACTAAACTTAAAATTAAGACATTTCATAACCTATTTGTACAGCCATTTCATCCCGGCAGTGACTTGGATGCCAGTAGGCCTACTCACGGAAAATGACCACCTTCCTATCAGTACCCTCCCACCCCTGAAACGCGCTAGCACAAGGCAACGCAGGATTTCGATGGGGTCGGTGCGGCTGCCATGGCCATTTATAGTGATGGGTAATAGCGCAAAGGAATGAATTTGCTGCACGCTTGGTTGCACGGGCCATACGCAGAGTTAAAGATGATTAAATCCATCAACACCATCACTGGGTCACTTCATCTGAGCGTTGCGTTCTGCGAGCTTGTTTGTCCTTCCACTTCCTCCGATTACTTGTTTATTTTGCCCCAGGGGATCCTTGCCAGCCTCCTTCTGCGAGCTTTGCGTCCACAATCCATTTTCGCTAGTGGCATTGCCTTAAGCTTACGATCACCTATTCTACAACGGGGTAGGCCATCGTTGATTTGTAGCTGTAATTTGTACTTTTAATCTTACAAATGCACCGCGGCTGGAAAATCAGCTGGCCTTTATGAAACATACCAAGATACGGTTGTAGAAATTCTCGAGAGATTTGTCAATTTTTGTGTGTGGTTTTGTAGGTTTGTAATTTGTAGTTGTTGTTTGTAGGTTTCTGCTTCATGAAACACATTTTTACAACCACACATACAAATTTACAAACTACAATACAATTGTACAAAAAACTGCCTCTGTGAGAAATGCTACAGGTTGTCGCACACCCTACGGCAACTCGCGCCGTCAAGCATCTGTATAATTGTACAGCATCGTATATGTCAGGCTGTCATTAAAAGTGGGTGGCGCAACAGCACGGTTTGTAAAAGTAATAACAGTGATAAGGATATTCCATATGTTGTCAGTTGAAGTAAATGTGTCATTGATATGGTGTTGGTTTAATATCAATCGTGTTGTAGGCGGATGTGGCATGCTATATTGGCTGTACATGTGCCATAAATGTGCCAAAGCTCAATGTTTCCCTGTGTGTGTAAAACTATAATGTGCAATAAACCTTCAAGAAGACCAATTCTCGGCGCGGCCCGTCCTAGCCTGAACGTGGTCCGTCCAAACCTTGATGTCAACTGACCTTCGGGTCAACCGCTGCCACCGGCTGCAGGCCATCGCAGTCCAGGGACGCGTAGCGATCGTTTGAGGCGACTCGATCCCTCCCCCCCCCCCCCCCCCGGAGGGCGAGTCCAATCATAATTATTCTTTACCCGCCTGTGTTAGCGGAACCGACGCGCGGGTGGTGCTTGAAAAGTGAATATTGGCCAACTTCGGGCCTTGGAAGGCCTGGCCACCTGAGTTGACGAAATCAATGGAACTGAAACGGTTCATGTTTTTGGTGATCGTAAACAAAGTATTGCGAAAACGCGCACTTTCCGTGGGGATATTGCTCAGCGTGAACTGGGTGTGCATAATGTCGCTTTCAATGCCTGTCTATTTAAGCCCCAGTGCAGTATTTCAAACAGGATTTAACAAGGAGCCATGATCGCTTCCTGGTCGGCTTCTGACATCGCTGTGGGTCGAACAGTGTCCAGCTTGCTTAGCCTTTTGTCGATGGAACACCCGCCTGCAACACACAGCTGGGCACGTCCTTACCTTCCCTGACTGCCGGGATATGCCATTATTCACCAACCTTTACCTAAACCTTAAGCTGTCTAAAAACTGGTGGATGCGTGGCCTGCTCTTGATTGGAGGAGCCCGGCTGTACACACCGATCCAGAGCTTGGCCATTGCGGTCGCCCTCTCTGATCTCCGTTACCATGTGTCCGCCTGATGCTGCTGCTGCGCCCAGATGTTGAACCTGCGTTATCGGCATCTAGGCGCAATTTAAGACGGTCGTGCGCTTTTTTCATGATTCACATGGTTGATGTTTCCGTACTAATGGAGCATGAGGGCAGCGTACTATTTACGTTGCCATGCTACATGCAAATCCTGCCTGTCAAACACCTTGCATGCCTCTTGATCGGACCTGATCATCATGACCTGCCTTGACACGCCGGAAAACGGCTTAACTTTCAAAGAGTTGCGTTCCTCATTGCAGAAAACTGCATGAAGCTGCCATCAGCAGCTGCAAAGATATCATCAGAGAGATCAGAGATATCAGCTGCAGAGATATCATCAGACCATCAGAAGCAAGGCCGATTCGGCCGAGTTGATCTCAAGCGTTTCCCTGCTGAGGTCGGCTGATGCTGGGACAAGCATGCTTAGCAGCCTGGCTAGGGATACTGATATTTGTGAAGATGCTGCCAGCAAAACTCCATGGGGTGCACACTGATTACGCAGAAGAGAAAGGCCTATAGCAGGACCAAACGTTTGAAATATGAACTAGATACCTCTAGGACGGCTCGAATAACAGCCGTGCCGCAGAACGAAAAGTTTGCCTGCTGTTTAACACATACTGTAGTGCGGTTGCCAGTTTGTATCATTTTGTGAAAGCCCTGCCCGCCCCCAATGTTGAGTTATATGTATGTGTACGCATGTAGTACATACATATGTACTACACCGCATGCATAGGAATGCAGTATCCACATAACACGTACTGCGCATGCGCAGAGTATGCAGTAGCCACGACAAACGGGTCCTTCCGTAAAGGTAATGACACACTGCTCCTCAAAAGTTGACAGGTGCCCGGAGGTAAGAGCCTTCTGTACAGCTCAGCTCTTAGAAGATGGTGTTGCCTGTCTCGGCTGGTCTCAGTCATACCTGCGAGCCGGTAATGATGACACTCTTCCCCAAGTTCTCCAGCATGAAGGACAGCGCCGAGGCCGTGTACGCCATCGTGTCGGTTCCGTGGAGGATTACGAAGCCATCAAACCAGTTGTAGGCTTGCTGGAAGGCAAACGCATTTGTTTCAGTGCGAGCGGTGTGGTTGGGACTTCGCCGGAGTCCCTGAAGCAGCCCATTTGGATGGGCTGCGCTCTCAAGCGCGTCCATTGATTCAAGTCGCATCTTCACGGCGTCTCGTCACTGCGAAAGCATGCTCAGACCGTCAACCATGAGTCTGCCTCCCCGCCGGCCTGGATGGCAGTCATGCTAGGGCAAGTGCCAAGATCGCTGGGTTCCTGTGGACCAAGCGGAGGTCAAGCCTAGGTATGGAGGCAACACAGGAGACCGACAGCATGCCCCGTCATACGTGTTTCCTTAAGCCCACAGCTCCGAAAAAAATACTTTCAAACCCGAAAGGTTCTGTCTTAATGAAAAAAAAACGGTTCTGCTCATTTCCTTTCCATAGCATCATAGGAAGAGGGGGAACTGTGCTGTGATAATGCAGAAAATCTGCGCAGGTTTACAGTTCTAATCTTCCCTTTGTACACCATCCTACCATAAGCACGCCTACGACCTCGCGTGTGTAAAGCATACACTGCTTGGCTTAGGCCCTCGACAACGACATCTGGAGCGGTGGAACTAGCTGCCTTTCGTCTGTCCTACCTTGACGTCCTTGGCTATCCGGATCCAGTCGTCCATAGTCATGTTGCTGGAGTCCAGCAGCGGGTCATACTCGTACACAGTATAGATGACTCTGGAGTCTGAGGCGTTGGCAGGCCTGCGGCGAGGTAAGCAGCACGCTCACTTCTGGTATCACAGAGGTTTGGTGCACCATTTAGGCGGCGGCAGGGGAGCAGGCGCCGACATGCGTCTGGAGATGACTGTAAGGACCAGGCATGCCAACTTCTAAAATCGGATGGGGGCTAAGTCGATAGCGTCGATCTAACCTACCCCAAAAACTCATTTCTCCCCAGATTCTGGTCACATTAGTTGATGCCCCTGATGTCAAAACAGTTGTTTTTAATGTGGTCCATTCCAGCAATGTTTTTCTGCTCAGGAACTTCTCTCCTTGCAAGCAACTGTGAATTCGATTTCTGGGAACAGCTTAGGCTGGAGTGTAATCATAGAACAAATAATCCTGGTAAATCGATCGGTTGTAAGCGAAACTGGATGCTGTTTTTGGTTCATCAAAGGTGCCCGACCTTCAAAAAGACGGGTTTCAAGAATGGTTGCTTCATACAGAATGAGAAGACCGTTCTATGCAGAATGGCGTGTTCTGACATGTTCATATTAGAAACCGAGGAAAGTGCTTCGGGTACGTTCCAGGCTTTATTTACATATAAACGCGAAAGTGAGCTTGCACGACCATCTCAACAGACACGTCGATAACTGGAAGGACATAGTAGTAAAGTACAGGCTGGCAGCCGGACGAGTCACCGAGCGGGCAAGCTAATGTTTGGCGCTACCAACGCCTTGACGTGTGCAGAAGGTTACCATAAGCAAGAAGCGTGTTGAGCTCCTGGTGTTGTGGCGTTGTGAGTGGGGAGTTCTTGTGTTGAAAATTATCGACCTTTAGTGTAACAGTCCTGCAGAGGGCTGTTATTGTCCCGATCGACGTCCTATCTCGTGAAAAACCTGTCGACATTTGCAAACTAGCATAGCATACGAGAACGTTTGCATGCCAAAAACTTGATGTATGTCTGTAACTGCAAGACTAGTACAGCAACAGTTTTTCAGAGGTATAAATGTTCTGCATTTCTTTGTCACAGTATTCACTATTTTGCCCATATGCATTGGAGGGCTAGAAAGGCATTGCAGGGAGGGAGAGAGCTCAAATCGGCATTACGGGGCCCAGTCCTTTCCCTGAAAGCATATCAAGTGACGCCCTTGGTAAGAACCAGGCTTATGATACGTATATGAAGCAAGGCTTGAATGAGCTCAGTGATTGGGGCATTCAGAGGTCACTAATGATATCGCATGCCGTTGAGGCACGGAGCGTGAACATTAGTATAAGACCCATCAAATATCCGTCCAGAAATGGCAGCTATAACTTCGTAAAAGAGCACGTCGATGAGACACGCGTTATGCAAGATTATGACGTTGCGTGCGATGTCTAAAAACGCCTTCGAGTTATCATCCACAAATCGTCACGCTTTAAAAAAAACAGCCAAATCAGTTGCAAAACAGTCTTCACATTCATGGTTAAAGTGAACCTTTTTCTGCTTGGCGTCAGGTAAAAGACAAATGTGCACCACCACGGGCCGCAAAAGACGCTTGACGTATCTGAAAACCTCGGGAGCACGCGTCCTGACTGCGTTGGCATAGATCAGGGAGGGGGAGGAGGGGGGGGGGGGGGGGGGAGGCATGGCACGTCGGCAGGCCGCAGCCGACTTGCGGGTCGATCTCTGGGCAGCCAACGACATTCCGGGCGACTGGGGGCGCGACCAATCACCGCGCAGTGCGGCGGGGGCCTGGCGCGCGGCCGTTTTGGTAGCGCTTGCGCAACGGTGTCGTTGCCAAGAGGTCATTCGATGCGGCGCGCCCGTCGACTGAACATGTATGCCGTGGAGTAGGCGGTTCGAGCCAGCTGTATCGGCGACGCCGCCGGTGCAGCGGGCTGATCCGGGCTCAGGTGGCAGAGGGTTGATGGCCGCACGTGCGTCGATGAAACGGAGGGGGGGGGGAACGCCGGGTGGGGGCGAGCGTGGGCTCGGCAGCACCTGTCGCGCTCAGCAGGTACTAGTCGGGGCCAAGGCCGTCGATGTCACGCGTCCCCGACGGAGGAGAGTTTTACGTCGCGAAGTGGTGAGGTTCGGCATGAACGTTCGGGATGTATATGGTTCAGTCAAATGGACGGCGGCTCGGACTGCGCGCCCAACCCAGCCGGCAGTGGGCCCACGTGGGCCGCCGCCTCCGTCTGAGTGCGCTGCAGGGCGGGGAGACAGAGGAATGCCACCGATGCGACGCGGGCTCGTCTCCTGAAGTATGTGGCGACGTCTGCAAGACATTATCGACAAACATAGCATCTCCAACTGGTCAGCCAAGTTCAGCTCGCAATACAACCCCGCGCTCGCTACCGCGACCATATTTATCAATTCGAGAAGTGCTACTGACATTCACATCAAACAGTGCAATAATATCAACAGAAAGTAAGAAAAAGTAGGAAGCGCGAGAGCTTAACGGATGCATTATCTGGACGAATTTTGTTTTGAAGTGCAAAGTCATTTACTCCAATCAGATCGCACTTTCACATATACAACGTGCAGGATGGCTCTGTCCAAGTGTGTGCCACCATGAGAAATTCAGCACTGGGATATGTCAGCTTATCATCATACATATATTACCACAAACGCAGAGACGTCAGACATCCACAGCTACCCCCTTAACATAACAAGTCCTTCGCCGCGAGCCTGAGATATTTTACCTCGCAGGCAGTGCGAAAAAAGTCAAGGCACATTTGCGTTGTTTGAGCCATCTAACACGCTAGAGTCACCCATCAAAAGATTCTCGGATTAGTTAACATTTACAGTCTAAAACGTGCTCCGATTTCACTAGCTAGGATTAACCAGCGATTTTCAGCTAAGGCTAGCATTTTCATAACCATATAAATGATTGGGCTATTGCGACTCCGGTAATGTCGCAAGAATGAAGTCATGTTGCATCGATAACACCCGCTGTAAGCAGCAGTTTTAAGCCTACATTCCTATAGCTTGCCGAGCTTCTCCGTTCTCAAAGTTTATAAGCGTGAACGGTGAACACCAACAGTGATGCAGTATAGATTCAACAGTTTCAAACACCTTCCAGTTCCGCATGAATTTTCCATCAAGCCCCCATGATTAATTCGTATATCATCGTATATAATAATCATGTTACTTCACACCTGGCCGTCAGAGATATACAGACGGCAGCAATCGATCATGGCAGCTGGGTCTGCTGACGTGTAGGTCAGGTCAACATATTCCAGACGCCGGTGGGGCCTGGCTTACTTCCGGCCCCGGCCACGCCCGGTCGTCAGTGGCCTGGGCGAACGAGACTGCACTCACACGACATTGCCGGTCACGGTCACGCTCCCGGTCACGGTCACGGCCACGGTCCTCGTCACGGACAAGGTCACGGTCACGGTCACAGTCACAGTCACAGTCACGGTCACGGTCACGGTCACAGTCACGGCCACGCTCCCGGTCACGGCCACGGCCATGGTCATCATCACGGCTAAGGTCACGGTCACGGTCACAGTCACGATCACGCTCCCGGCCACGGTCACGGCCGTGGTCACCATTACTATCACGATCACGATCACGATCACGGCCACAGCCACATTCACGGCCACGGCCACGGCCACGGTCACAGTCACGACCATAGTCACAGTCACGGTCACGGTCACGGTCACGGTCGCGGTCACGAGCACGGTCACGGTCACAGTCTCGGTCTCGGTCACGGTCACGGTCACGGTCACGGTCACGGTCATGGTCACGGTCACGGTCACGGACACGGTCACGGTCACGGTCGCAGTCTCGGTCTCGGTCACGGTCACGGTCACGGTCACGGTCACGGTCACGGTCACGGTCACGGTCACGGTCACGGTCACGGTCATGGTCATGAGCATGATCACGGTCATGGCTACGGTCGCGGTCTCAGTCCTGGTCACGGTCACAGTCACAATCACGGTCACTGCGTTCTTTTAGCATTGTTGGGAATTCATCGTTTCGGAATTAAGTAAAACTTTCAGACAGCAAGGGAGAAGTGCTTCGCGGGGCGCGGCGGAGAATTATGCAGTTTAATAATACGCAATCTTCCATACCAACTTATTTTGCAGGCTGGTAACCTGTCACTTTTATCATTTTGTTATGCCAATAACAAACTATCTCTCATAAAGCTAAGCCAGCTGAAATAATGTGACATATATCCATTCAACGGAAGGCTACCCTCTTAATGATGAGCATGCACGTGGTCCTGTTAATAGCACATTCATTTTCTACTTAAGGTACGACAATATTATCCTTGCTGTTATTTCTTCAGCACGTTTTATGTATCTAACTGAAGCAGTTTACTTTTAACCTCAATCTCATGTACGTGTTGGTGAATGTGGATTGTTCATTAGTCAAGTTAATAAAAAACCGTGTTTGCTCTCACCGCCAGATAAAAAGCGTAACCGCTAAGCGGATAAGCAATGCAATAAATCTTACATACCTTGGGTTCTAAGATGCGCCAAGACTTTGCGGGCCTAAACTGAAAAGCTCCGGAGCACAGCTTTCATAATGTTTACATTCTGCTTAAATTGGATGCCATTGTTTAATGACACACATATCTAAAACATGACTTGTCCTTTGTCAAAACAACGTGGGATAGATCCATTGAAAAATGGGAGGGGAAGCATCATTGGGCCCTCGGCTCGGCCCCCAAATCATTTTCAAAACTGACACTCTACCCCATCGCTCCTGCCTTTCCCAGTGCACGAAACGGACTGAATCAATCAGTGCTCCGCGTGGTCCGGTCCTGGCTGGATCAGTCATTGCTCCGCGCGGTCCGGTTCTGGCTGGACCAATCAGCGCGCCGCGTGGTCCGGTCCGGTTCGCGTGGTCCGGTCCGGTTCGCGTGGTTCGGTTCGGTTCGGCGGATTTGATGGCGTTCGGGTCAGAGCTAAATGCCACGTGCAGATTTGGAGGCGTCCATTTTTCTAATCTAAATACAATTTGTGGTTTTGGAATGGCTGACATTGTCAGTTCGCAGGCTGACTTAAACGGATGGAAATGGCTGCTCTATGCAAACGCCGAAGTTAATGGTACTTTACTATCAAGCGAGTTGTCATCGCCTTCACCTTACACTTAAGCTCACGTGCGAGCACAAACAACTTTAAAACAAGTCCACAACTGAAAATACCTCTAGAAGACTTACGGCAGCACAAGAGCGGCCGTGTCCGCCTGTCGGAAGCGTTGCCCCGCGTACTCCCGGTCGTGCATGTTGGGGGTACGTTCTCAGCCGGGTTCTCCATGACGCCTGGGCAGGGGGCCAGCACTGCGGAACGAGGGTCACAGTCAGGGCACGCCGGCCAGAAGAGGTCAGGGTCAAAGCATCGCGGACATGGCACGGCCAGACCGCGAACACCATGCCACCGGGATCTGAGTCCGTGGCGCACAACCGACCCTCTGCATGAACAGCTCACCGAGGGCAGACAGAGGGGCGGCTGCGTGGTATCAACGGTGTCCGTAAGTTGAATGTCGATGGTCCCCATTGCGCCTGGCTGCTGACCGCTTGATGTGGCAATATAGCCAAACGTTCAGAGCACGCGAACGATCCAGTTAAAGGGACTGTTTCATCTTTGAAGATATTGAAGCAAACATCAGATGTCATGAAACAATCTCACTTTCAACTACTGGTACATTTTCAAGTAGAAAAGACTACCCTAGACAACACAGTTTCTCTGCTTAGTTAAAGGGAGTGTTCCACATTTATATGGGTTATGAAATGAAATAGCCATCTTGAAGGCCTTTCGGTGCTGTTCACAATCCTGTCCTTACTAAGACCTAGGCCTCACCAGCTTCTGAGCTACACCCCCGCGAAAATGGGAAAAGTATGTCAGGGAGAGTATTTCAAAGTCTTCGTAGCATTCATGACGTTCTAAACTTCTTAAGATCTTGTCACTCCATAAGCCATGCGGCGATCAGGTAAGACGTTTAATTGTCGAGGCGTTCATATCTGGCGTTGGTGAGCGCCATGTTGTGCAAAGTACGATTATGTAATAAACCATGATGCAATGAGCCTGCTGCCTAAAGCAGCCTTTCCACGTGAA